GATTCCATGATATTCTACTTTCTTTAATTCGTAGATTGAAATGATTTATCCAAAAAGATTTTATCTAAAATCATTGTTGTGATAAATAAATGGGATATCTTCCTGATTTTCTTTTCATATTTTCCACTGTTTGCTTGAAAACAAAACAACCGCAGCTGAATAAAAATTTTGGCATGTAGACAAACATCAACAAATAAAGTTCTCACTAAGCCTGTAATGATTGTACAATGACTAAATGAAATTTGAGTTAAAGCCAGAATGAGCATAAAACTCCAGAAAATTGACTTGAGAAAATATTCAGCCTATTATACCATCCACTAAATTAGTCTCACATTATGAACTCACCCTTTGAGAGTCTCAGTTTTGAAAATTTAAAACATCCGTTTAGTTTAATATTATGAATGAATTATCGATGATAAATGGTTCCTTCAAATCGTCATGTAAAAATAGAAACAAAATTTTCTTGAGCCACCATCGTTCCGTTAAATTTGTTCATTCTTATAATACTGAGTGCAATGGTTTGGATAAAATGTCAACGTGTTACTTGTTAAAATCTTTGACGGTTCATTAAGACAGAAAGTACGGAATTTTTTGGGATAAAATCTCCTTTTTTTGACAAGCTTGACAAATTATTTTTTCTTACAATCTATACCGATTTAAATCGACACATTTAGGAAAAATTTCAAGCTAAATCATAATTATCATTCCAATAGCGATCGTTTTACTTTGAAAAAAAATTCTTAGCATTAAGGAAAATAGTAATTCTCAAAGCTAATATTAACTATTTCGAATTTTTTCCCCCAACGAAATGATTTTTTCTTCAGCATCAGAGACTCATTGAAAGAATTTTTTTCAAGCAGTCTTTAATTTATAACGATAGTAATTTTATTGGTAATTAAAATTAACAAGCTATGCTGCCAAATTAGTCTCTAATACCTCAAGAGTCTATTATCTCAGTCAAACTTTTTTGTTTCGTTTCTTTATTCTCACCTTCACCCTCTCCCCTTTAGCGTGACGTTGAACGCTGCGGTAGTTAAAAGATGGCAGTGCTACCATCATCAATAAATGTCACAAAGTTATGTATTCCGCCTCGATACACAGCCTTATTTACTACATAGCACCTTAATTATCACATCCTCCCTCTCGTCGCATTATCTCCACTTCAATTAAAGTGTTTTTTAATGGTTTTATTAATAAATAAATAGAGGGTTTTCAAAAATTCATGATCGAATGATTGGAGGATGTTAGTCAATACAATTCACATAAAGATTAGACAAAAAATAAATGACGGTAGCTGTAGATGGAGATGCTGATGGTATATAGGTTGAAAATGTATCAGACGATCTGTCGAAATGATTCCGCTTACTCGCCACAGGGGAGCTACAAAAGAATCAACGTAGGACAATGTAAGAGATCGAATGTGGCTATCTTGCTACTGAGAATATTTCATTTACCAGACAAAAAGCTATAGTCTGAGTATCTTCTTTTTCTCACCACAGCCAGGCTCAAGGAATTCAAATTAATATTCGGTGCTGACGTACGAAATTACAGATGAGCTCCAACACCGCCGCCGCCCGCCAGGAAACAAATGGATGACGATCATGCTGTCTGCAGCGACGATCATGACAATGCTGTTGGAGAGTCGCTTGCCACCTCATCATCTTGGCTTCGCATCCTTTCTCTTAGTAATTGCGTGCTCATTACAATTTAACTTCTTAGTGATTTTTTTTTTTCGCCTATAGCTTATAATATTCTCTCATACTCGTATTCTTATTATGTAAAAAAATGTTGATGCATATTTTTTAAAAAGACAAACCCATGTGTTTCATCGTCACTGATGAACGATGTCTTATTGTTTGACGAATAATTTAGTTAAAGTAACTAATCGTTTGCTTCTTTTAACTTGCCGGCTCCTCTCCGGGAAGCCCTGGCTCCGATTGCTGGACTCTTGCGGTTTCTTTGTCATAATTAATAGTCCTTCCCACCGAGCCTACTACTTTTACCTAAATGATTTACCATTTATCTTCAAAGCCTGCCAGTTTCTTGACATCCGGATCTTAATTCCAAGAATTTTTACTCACCTCCTTCCGGTTAATAATATTGATTTGATTCACATATGCCTTGAATCGAATATCATTACATGCAGAAAATCCACATTACTCACCACCATTGTTGATCCATAGATCTATCTAGCTATTATTAGCATTTCAATACTTGGCTTCTACCTTCCACAGCTATCTCACTTGAATAATGGACTTTTGAGTAGTTTAATTAAGAAAATTTTACAGCTTTTAGAATCGATATTATTGATGAATGATGATGATGTCTATTATTTTTTTCAAACAATACAACCTATTAATAGTTATAATCATTATTGCTAAAAAAAAACATGTTTATTAACTTGAGAAAAATTATTTGAATGAATTGGAGTATAATTTATGAAGAAATTTCTAAAGTTTATTGTTGGTGAAGATAATGATGTGAAATTGTAATTACCAATGAACAAATACTTATTCATAATATTTTATATTTATTAGTTTGTTGAAAGATAAATTTTTAATTTAGGTTTTCATTAGTTTAGATAGTATTTTATTGCAGTAGAATTGATATTAAACATACTTAGCTCTTAGAACTTTCTCTTGATATATTCTCCAAAGTTAGCTTATTTAGCAAATATAAATTAATGTTTATTTTTTTTTTAACGCGTGGTTGATGTAACATAATTAAACATAGTGGCCATAAAAAAGTAGGATACAAATTAATAATGAGTGCAGATTAACCCAAGTTATTCCGACTGTGGTTGTCTTAAGAGATGTCGGATTAGCCGTTTGGAACGGATCTTCATGTACGATAAGGCTACACGAGCACTTTTACCGCATTCTATTCTGTAATCGGTCTTTCTAGAGGCGCCATATGTTTGCGCATTAACTTGGTGTTTAGTGTATTATAGAGAAACGGTAAATGATGACGAGGAGGAAGCTTTCATCTCACGATTAACTGTGATAATCATCACACTCAATTACAATATTTAAATTCCCCACCGACATATGTGTGCATCACAAAGTCCAAAAAATTTAGAGAAACGGATGCGCCCACTGTTGTCTATAAACATTCGTTTTTTATCGCGATCGAAATGACTCATTAACTCTCATTTTTAACAAGATTTGAGCTTCTGATAAATGATATATATATATATATACATTTAACCATTAATGATATAACTAATTCATTAAATAATGAGCTCGTTTCATTTTTGTCATCGTTTTCAAGCCAATAAATAAGCTCTATATCAGATTATTTATATAAAAATTTAATAAAGCATGAAAATTAAATAAAATAATTCTTTTGGGATCATTATGATAATATGACATGTTGTTACTTGGAAAAGAATTACATGTGAATTATTTATTTAATTTTAAGATGGACTATGTTTGATGAGAATACAAAAAAAAAAAAACAAAATTAAATTCAATATTTAATTTGTATTTTAAAAAAAAAAAAAAATTAAATAATTCATGTTTTATAATGGTTTAATAATTTATTCGGTATTATATGGACGAGTTATCAAGAATAAAAAATGATTATATTCCCAGAATAAAAACAACAATAGTGAATTATCATGATCAAAATAACTCATGATTAACCCCTTATTTTCCACAAAATTCTCGAGTGTGACAAATGATATAATACATTTAAATATTAATGATGTAACTAATTCACGAAATAAGAAGCAGATTAAATTTTTACGTAGTCATTTTGTGGATAATAAACACACCATCTGAATAGTATAATGTATAATAGAATTTATATGTGACCTTTATCAGCCATTTGTCATCATGTGAGCGACGAAGCGAGCGTCAAGCATCATCATCCTTTCCCTCATCTCACAGAGCAATAATACTCGATTTCCAATACCAGTGGTCCAGTTTAATCGATTAGAACAACGTAGCTAGTAGTCAATATGCAAATTTTCCGGTGATGAAGTGCGTATTGTGCATCAAGATTCTCACTATCTACAGCACCAATCACACAACACAGACACCAGTATTTAATACGAGTATTTTACCTGTACTAAAAGTTGTCAAGACAAGCGTGGAAAAGGATGAGGAAAGGTATTCAGTGAATACGTGAGTTCTAATGGTAAAGCGGAAGTTGAAGCAATTAACGATATAAGTGGTCCGTTGGTCTTGAAGAGAGATAAAATCACATTTAGCCCGAGAGTCGAGCTCGACTTCTCGCCACTTGTCGATGATGAGATAGCAAAAAGGCAGGTGCTTCTTACACACTTTTGCTTGAGTGTGTGTATTTTGTTCTCACTTTACTTTTATTCATGTGCTAAACTCGAGAGTTTTTGTTACAAAATTGCGCGAGCCACTTGCAAGTTTCGAGCATGAGGAAGCCCTGTAAAAATATTATACGACCTTACACACCAAAAGGGTTAACCACATCCTCTGTTGAATCTTCTGTTTCTCTATCAACGGAACTGCTCACATTTCTGTCAAGCGGAAACGTCGCTTTGGATGACGATTGACAGTAGTTACCGCAGTAGTAATATTCTTTTTTTATCCATTTTTTTTAAGGGATGAAAGACTTTAGTAGTGTAACTGAGAGTTGGCTTTTACGGTGGGTGAGTCTAGAACTTGAAATTGTCCCGGTTCGATGAATTTACCGGCTAGAAAATCGTTAGCCCCATACTATCTAACCACTAATAGGCACCAAATTAATTTCACATAATTGGATGAGTTAAAGCAACTACATAGTTTACCCTAATAACTACAAAATAAGCCTTTTTCTTTGTAATATCAGCGCTCTGCATAATTACTTCAAGCTGCTGTTCTACGTGTAATTGACGAGAGGTAAATAATTGCAATGAGAATCATTAATATAAAGAGAAGGATAATGATTAATGATATTCAAAAAATTATGTTAATGTCTAGAAGTAAATTTAGTATAATATATTTTCCATATAATAATTTTTGCTATACAGACATTATTATACAAAGCATAAGTTCGCTATTATTTTTTGCTGCAAGGTTTAACATTAATCGCACGGCGAACAAGTTACATTTTTTTTCGAACGCATTCGATGCGACGACAACGCATTTTTTAAGTATTATCGCTGTTAATATCATACTTTTTTTATACTACATCATTTCATCACCATCATCATCATCATCATCACCATTACCATATATCCTCACATTCATATTTTTATCATATAATCTACTTTTATACATTCATAATACTGGTAATTTTTTTTCTTAAGTAACGTAGTTACGAATTGATGGAGAAGTGTGGCCAAAAATTAAAAAAAAAATAAATAAAATGCGCTAGGCGCTTTTAAAACATTTTATCCAAATAAAAATGCATAATATATATATTTGAATCTGAAAAATATTTTGCAATATGCCAACATATAGATTTATTTTCACTTTTTTATTTGTTTATTCAATTAGTTGATTTATCTTAGAATTAATTTATTAGTGAAGTATTGAGATTTTCTCATATATACTCACTCATTTCACATTCATACTTCCGCACTCGCAATTCAAATTACGTATATTCTCGCTCGTAATGAACAGCATATTTACAACTTCAAGTCTTAAACTAAATTGGAAGCTTAATTGCTTCCTTATTAATTGAAAAAAAAAGACTCACAGTCTGAGTATCATTATTTACACTTCACAATGTATCCAATTGTCTACATGTAAAATTAAAAAATCATAGATAATATTTAATCATGATTCAGCAACAAGTCTTATGATTTAGTTTGATGACAATATTCATACCTGGCAACAATTATCCATCGATTCCAACATACTTAACACAAAATATTTGAGCCATTAATTTAAATTAATAGAACGGATCATGATAATTTTTTTTCCTTCAACACTTATTATTACCTTCGTTTTAATTAATTGTCTTTGTGGATATGAGAGTAGTGAATAAGAGTTTGGCCAAACAAATTGCACATTTAAATTTAATACCTCATATTTTCTGCAATTGACACGTCAGATTTATTATATGTATGAATATATCTATCCATCCTACACACTCGATTATCCACCACAAACATTATTAATGTGCATAAAGTCTCAAGTCGGTTAACCGCACGTCACATCCTGGCTTTATATTTTCTCGCAAATCTCAGATGTCTGAAAACTTTATGCCATGGCCCGTATCACGTTTCTTCCTTGTTTCCGTTATCCGGTTGTCTCTGTAACACTCTGTTTATTCACTTAACTTGCTAATCTATCATCAACCTGGTGACTGATCAGGATCACTAGACTTTTGAATGTTCCAAATATGGAACGAAAGTTCCCAGTCCTAGACATCATGTATACTTTCATCATCACTGTCAGCTCGTTCGCTTCTTGGACTATCTTCTCTTGGTGGTGGGGACCTCTCTAGACTCTTGCTTCTCGTTCTTTCCATTGCTATACGTTCCATGTGTTCTCGATCTCGAGGATCTTGCATGATTTCAGGACTTTCTCTGTTGTAATAACTACTTAAATTAGAAAGACTCGAACTAGCAGCTAAACTTCCTAATGTTGCGCTTGGTCCAGCAGTCAGCATTTGCATTGTTGGTGGATAAAATCGGTGAGGCATTGGTTTTTGTAACGTGATTGCTGCTGCAGCTGCTGGTGGTCGATAGAAAAGTTCATTTGGTGGTGCTACAGGTGTTCCAGGATACCAGTAAGGTGGTTGTGTTGGAACTCCAGGACGATTTCCGTACATACTGTGAAGAGCCACGTAATTGCCTGCCTCGGCTAAGATTTCGAAACTCACGATCGTTTGTCTTTTCCATTTGGTTCTGGAACAGAAAAAAAAAATTGAAATTAAATTTCTTGCTAACAACGTACTCATTTTTCAGAGAAAATAATTTTAAATTGAAATCATTTAGATTAATTTTTTTTTATCAGTAATTGATTTATCTTGAGGTAAAAATTAGTTAAAAAACAGGTTTTAAAGTTGAAGATAAAAAAATATTTAATGCTGCTATAAATAATTGCTTGTACATCTATTTTCAGTTATTTTGTTGTCAACTGTTGACATCTAACAGATATGATAATTTTGTTACAATCAAGAATGACGTAAAGATATGATAACTTTGCAGTTTTATTATTTGTTAATGAGGAATTTAGTAAAAATAATATCTATATAGCTCTGAAATATCTCTAAAAAGTGATATTCCAAGTCTTTGAAGTAAGCAGGTGTTTGCTGGGCTCCAAAAAAGATTATTTTGAAGGAAAGTTTTATCAGTAATCAATTTTTAATGGTCAAGAAGTTGAGTTAGGTCGTAAAAAATGTCAAAATAAAATAATTTTCTTTACAATAAAAAAAAAAAAATTTGAAAAAAAATTAACAAAAACAAAAAGATTTTGTAAAATAAATACTAGTATGGAGACCATTTAAAATGAGTGATTATAAGATTGAAGCAAAAAATTAAATAAAAAGACTTTGGTCAATAACAATTTAAATTTTTATAAAGCCCATTTCTTTGTTGGTGCACATTTAGAGTGAATAAATATTGAAATGAAGTAAGATTAAAGCTCTTTAAACATGTTATTACGATGTTTATGCAGAGTATTAGTATGTAGGTAGTTTAAATCGAATAGTATATCTAGACATCACGTGTAAAATTAGCGGAAGCATGAGTACGAATCGACCAGGTTGACTTTGGAGTATGGCACACGGTGGTTTTATATGGCAAGAGAATGATAGGGCATTGGAAAAGTGGGTGGAGAAGGACTGACCGAGCAATCCTATGAATCGCATCGAGTAATCACAATTTCAACTCCCTTTTGCTACCCTCTCTCTTGACCCTAAAGTCGTATGTAAATTCTCATCTGAGAAAATTACGCTAAAACGGAATGGCGTGCTACCAAGTGGTTACGTTTGCCACACTGCGGCCCTTATTATACTAACAAATAGCCCATGGAGTTCAGTGGCTAATCATCGCGTATCATGCCACGCACACTGACGCCCAACGCTTTTCTACTCCTAGCCTACACGCTTCCAAGAAGACATATCATGACTTACGCACGCGTATTACCACTCATTTGTTACTAATAATCATAATGATTAGAGATAAACAACTGGACACACTGGAGGTTGAAGCCATAAAGTAAGCCGTTAACGTATTACTTTTTATAGAACATCTTTTGAATAAGAAAGAAATTGATTCTAAACTCGAACCAGTTGGTAATTTGGATGAATTTTATTTGACATACAATGACTTGATGGTTTGGAAAATTTGCCAAGGGATATACATATATAGGGCACATTGAACAAAATAGTAACTTATATAGAGATATATTGTATGGCATTATAAAAGTCGTTTATGAATTTTAAACAGTTTAGATCATTTCTCATTTTAGTCTGACATGAGAGGAGAAGGATGCGGAGAATGGAGAGTACGGACATTTGATTCGAGTGCGATTATATGATGAGTAATGTTTTTTAATACCTCGTCACTATTCTATTGCTCTTCCCCCCCCTCCCCCTTTTTTTTGGTATACAGGCGTTCTCTGAGTGCAACTATACTCCAAAACACCCTTAATTGGCTTCTACCCTCTCAGTGCACTCGAGCGTTATTGATTTATCACCTTAAAGATGTCTTTATGCTTTCAAATATTTCGGTTAGATAAATATCTGCTCAAAAGACTTGTAATAAATTTACTTTAATTGTTATCTTCAACCTAAAATACTTTTTTTTCTACTCTAATCCAAAACTATCAACTTTCAATCAATTCATCGAATCATTTTCAATATATTCTTACGTAATTTATCATTTATAATTATTAGTAATTTTATTATTAAATTGTAGAATATTTTAAACAATAAATTGAATTTAAAAATCAATAAATAGCAATTAAATATTATATGACATGGTATAATTAGCAATAATGATAAAGTATAGTAATTAACAATCAATTTTATAGAAAAAGGTTTTTTTAATTTCGCATTAAACGATTGAATGTTGAATAATCAGTTCGTGGTAATTGAAACAATATATTAGAAAAAAAGTGATAAAAAATAAACGTATTATAATTGGAAGATGGATAAAAAAATGATTGTGGTTTTTATCAAGAAATTAACGACTTAGATGCATCATTCAATGATATATAAAATAATAATATATATAATGAATAAATCAAAGAACTAATTTATAGTGTATCATTTCTTAGAAGTATGAGATATTGCGTAAATTAGTGATATATTTAGTTAGAGTGATTAATCTATCGACTATAAGTAGTTGTAAGAGGTAAGAAAAAATAATAGAATTACATCCTCAGAGTATATATTCTATACAATACAAGAGTTAATGTATTTATAATGGCTGTAATTCTAGTTTCTAGTTTCTCGTCTGCGGTTGTAGGGGTCTGGCATGTACGTCATTGACGTCTAAAGTACATGATAATAATAGGTACAATCATTTTAAAAAGAGTAAAAATTTATGAAAAGTGTATAAGAGGGTGTTCTTTTAATAAATTAATTCTCTATCTAACAATAAAGAAAACATCTGTTTGATGAGAATTAATATGAAATAGGGGAAGAATGGTAACAAAGGGAATTATAATTGTTGCTTATAACTATTACGACTTTATGATAAATAAATACATGATATCATCAACTTATCTATTAATCGCCCTTTTAAATGTGTGTACACAAATTAACTAACTGATATTCGATTATAAATTATTTCCTCTTTACATATTTATACATTGTTGAAGAATTGTAGTTGGTAAATAGGTCAAAATTAATGCGATTATCTATAGCAGCAACATTATTATTAAATTAATAACAATCCAAGTGACCCAAGTTTCAACCTCAACTTTACTATCGAGTTTAATTAATCTGTGCTTTAGCAGTAAAACTTTATCAACTCATTCAAATAGTAAGAAGAAATTTTATTTTATAACTGAGAACAATTTGCTAGCTAACATCTAGATGTTCTCAGGAATTTCATCATCAAAGACTTATTTAGTACGTGTCCAATTGGCTTTATTTTAATATTATGATCATTTTATGATTTTATAGAGTGGACTTTTCACGAAAAGGAGAACATATAAAAATAATAATGATCGTGTGTGGCCGTTATAACGATAGACATTGGAAGTAGCGTGGGAAGTAAAGCCAGTGTCTTCTTCCTGGATTGACTTCAGCAAGACATTCTCACGGTGTTGCAGTGACACAATATTATATTCTGACAAGTACAAAACAAGTGTCTTTTACTTCTTACTACAGTGACAATTGTCATTTGTCTTTAAGATCATTATATTTACCGTATAAATTTATTTGCAGGAGTCATAGAGCGATCTGTCATTGTGGGATAATTGGAGGGATTTAAAAAAGGATGAAAATAGATTTATAGGAGTCAGCGTGAACGTATAATAATTTTCTTTATAGTCTTCAAAGTGTGGTCATCATCAGTCAGTTGGATATATATGTATACAAGTCAACTTGCAAGTCTAGCCACCACAGTAGTCCATGCGTGTAAGAGGATTCTGCCCTCAGGACGCGACTCATAATTCTAGAGTATTATGCGGTAGCTCAAGCGAACGTACTAGCTAATTTGTTTCTTTTAAACCATTTTTCTATCCGCATTTTAGGATAGCCAGGTAAATTGCTCCAACGACACGGCGGAAATAAATGAACAATTGGACTTTACAAGGCTATATGTAGCAGGCAATGTGGCGTGCGATGTCCTCTAGCTTGTTTTCTTTTTTTTAGCAAGATTAAAATACTTGAGAAATAAAAGTTTCAAGTTGGACTAAATAGAAAATAAAAGGTGAGTTTTTTAATGGATTCTGCGATACGCAAGCTCACGAGTAAGCAACTTAACTAAACCTCAAAGACTAGAAGTTGACTAATGTAGGTTTACATCAACATGAAAACTTGTACGTCACGCTATGGCGGTTTGCCCATACGTCCATACTCGCGCCCGTGATTAGCTGATAAGTAGAAACGATTTCTCGGGGGATAATTTAACGACCCGTAACGATTGCCCGCCTCTCAACGTTCCTAAAACATAATCCATGTTGGAACATAATCGGGGAAAAATCAAATGTACACTTTTTCCTTGAGTTATTCTTAAAAAGAACCTCATGATAGCTCTAGATCAATTGATACTTGGATATTATTATCATACTTATCAAGACTATCTTTGGCAAATGTTTTTATAATAGCTGTGATAAAAGAGTGCTTTGCTAGCAGCAACAAAAAGTAAAAAAGTTGCTATGTAAGTGAAAACTTTTATTCAGAGTGTTAGAAAAAAAAAGCCTCTAGGGTTATTTTATTATTCATACATTTAGCGGGAAAAAAAAATGTTATTTTAATGGAAATTGATTTCTAAATTCCTTTTGAAATGTTTAGTGTAATGAAATGTCAGAACAAAATTAAATAGCTCTACTTATTAGCAATAGCTGTCCAAGTGTATCAGTTATAATTAAAATAATTCTACAAATGATAGATATTTTTCAATAGAAACAAAATGAGACTTTAAATGAAATCAGTATTTGCATAATAATAATTATATTATGTCAACATAACATTTTTAATTTATTCCTGTTTATAAATGTCATATCTGGTATTCAGACAGGTAATTTGATTCGGCTGATTTAAGTAACAAATAGAAATAAATAAGAGATATGTTGACATCAACGTTCCATTGGGAATGCAATACGATTTTAATCAGGTGTGGTGAGGAAGAATATTTATTTCAACGTTGATGATGATAATTAAAAAATAAAAAATGAGTTACAAGGTAAAAATATTTCTTCCTTTTTGTTTTTTTTTTCCTCCCGATAGATCATTACAAAATTCGACTATTTTTCGGTTTAGTTCTTTTTTCCGGTTGGAAGATGAATTGAAGCAAAACAGAGAGATAGAGGAGAGTTACGATTAATTGAATGGAGTGTAAAAGAGTTGTAGCAATAAAAAATGAAAAAGTAGTCATTTATAACCGCTTCTGAAGATTTCTACCAAGTCACTGGCGCCTGATGACTATAGCGATGGCTTTAGATCCTCCGCCCCTAGCGATTAGTCCGGTTGTGACCGGAAAAAATTCAAATGATGCGCTCGATGTTGTTTTAAAGTAGCAAACAGGGAAAAACGATGCAAGTAAACGAGCTTGACTGGGAGTAATATGAAGGTTCTCGGGTATTTAGTGGCAAGATGCGTTTAACTTCTTAAACGAGAGCCTTTATCGGATGCCGATTTGAGTCCTTCAATTCGTTATGGGTTTTGACGAAGAATGAACCGATACAAATTCATCTCAACCGATACAAGACTTTGATAATTGAGTGTAGAAAAAGCTTCTTGTTTTATCCTCTTTCTAATTATCCATTTCTTTGTTCTTCTTAATTATTTCTTACAACAATTTACTTCGTAAAGTTACTCAAAAATTGCTTTTAATCTTTTTAATTATCTAGTTAAGGAAAGAAAAGTTAATGATTACCTTCTATTTTGGTACCACGTTTTGACCTGCGTATCGGTTAGATTTAACTTAGCCGCGAGTTCCATCCGGTCCTGAACACTCAGGTACTTTTGTCTCTCAAAACTTTTCTCCAATGTTTGAAGTTGATTATCAGTAAATGCTGTTCGGGCTTTACGTTGCTTCTTGCTCGGTGGTGATATTGGTGTTATTGAAGAATCCTTCTGATTGTCCTCATTCACACCTGGAACACCATTAAATGATTATTATTATGATGGATTGATAATATAACTATTTTATCAAATCAACTTCAAAATGAATCAAGGTAAATTTAAATATTTTTTAAGATTAATTTTAAAATAATTTAAGTTATTTAATTGAAGTTTGTTTCATTTTTGTCATTTTTAAAAGTGGAACTTTCATCACCTGGTCATCATTAATCTGAAGACTAATTTCTCTAAAAAAAATTTGCATGGCATAGAAATATTTTGATGTCATAAAATTATCTATTTATTTGTCTGTCTCGTATTTTTATGATTCTAACGATCTGACACTCAATTCTTTTTATTTCAGATGCTTCCGCGCCCACGAGATGTGATTGGCTAACGGCTGCGGATTACGCAGCCGCGTCGTTGACCGCGCAAATTATTCTAAAAGCGTGGGTGTTCCCTCGGAGAAACAAAAGATGTTTAAATTTTCTTTATCTCTTGTAGCGGATAAAAAAAAAGAAAAAAAAGAAGAGGATGAGAAATATTTTCCTCTGGGAATCGTAAAGTATATCTAAAAGGCCCGTTGTCGGGAGTTCATCGATTGGAACCGGCGGATATAGTTGATGATGGCAATAGCCGAACATGATAATGGTGGGGATGGAATTGAGGGATAGAATGAGAGAAAAAGAAAGAATTGAGATTGAGTTAACCCAGGCGAAAGCGCGGCTCTTACTCCCCGTTTGATCGGCCAGATTCGCTTGAACGATTTGACTCATCCACCATGTTGGGAAATGGCAGCCATTTCTTCACGAAAAATACGCGAAAAGCTTCAGTGCAACTGAGATAAAGAATACATGATAAAAAAGAAGCTAGACTCCACTAGCAGACCAGCGATGCAGGAATACACTCTAAAGAACGGAGGTTGGAAAACTAAATTTACTATGTGATACACTTAGAGGAGTCCCGCTGGTGGAGTTTTCTTTTTGAGACACTTCCAAAACGTTAGTCGGAACTTTTCCCTGAGTTTTTCAACCTTTAGATCCCAAAGTAACTCAAGACTGTTTCGTATATGACTTCTCAGAGCTTTATATACTGCTAGAAAATTTATAAACTTCTTTTTTGGCTCATTGTTTGTCTTGAAGTACAATAACAACACTCTGATGAAAAAAAATCTAATAAATATACTACATAAATATTATTAATGACTACATCATCATCAAAAACTTTCCTATATTATCGAGGTTATCAATAAATTTGTTCTAATTCATTTATTACTCCAAATGTCTGACATGATCTTTTTTATTAAACTAATACTACTTGATCAAATATTTATCTCTTCATTTAATAAAGATAAAATGTTTGGGTTAAATTATTCGAACAATAAGTCGATCAACAATTTAACTGAAATGATTTCCATCAAGCCTAATGTCTTCCAATAAATAATTAATTAGTTGATAAATAAAAAAACAGTGTCTAAATATTGGGATTTTACTTGATCAAATAGAAATGAAAACAGGATGGAATAAAAAGAATATTTGTGGTTGCGCAAATGAAGTGATTTTAGAGTCGTCAAAAAAGGCAGAGCGTGAAAAATGGTATTCAATTCATGAGAAGTTACCCTCTCAAGTGCTTTAGAGTATAATACGCAACCCCTAAATTTCTCTGGATACTGGTCTTTGCCCCTTGTACAACAGTCACTAGTCAATGCATCCTTGAATCTGACCCTCGAGTCATTGTGTTACCTTTCGACACCTCTAGGGAACAAGGAATGAACGTCATGGTTCATTTTTATTGGTTAATTTATTTATTCCCTGTACACTTGACAAAACACTTAAAATCTATTTTCCAAATCAATACTCAATTATGCATGATACATGCTATAAAAAAAAAAGAGAAAAAAGTCATTAGCTTATTACTCTTAATTTATTTCATTATAAAAGATATAAAAGCTTTCAGATCTCTTGTCTAATAAACCAGCAGGTATCACACGGAGAAAATAAAGAGTCGAGGGGCAAAAGGGGATTTAGTCACGCAATAACCCTGTTAGCGAGTCACCAAGTGGTTTACATGCTCGTTCCGTGTATGTAAGTTTACATTTAAAATTGTAGCAAACACATGTATTTGATGCGTACGAAGAATCGCAAGTTGAGTGTCCTGCAACAGCAGGGTGTTCACCACAAGTTTTGTTCAATTTGTAAAGAGTTTACGTAGCGATTTTGTCGCGTGCCAATTGCGCGTGTACGCACTTCGATCTTATATTTTGTTACGTACATGGAATACACATGTGTGTAAACTAATATAAAGAGAGGACATTGACATTGTCAGATACAGTAAAATGTTTATGATGAGTTTGAGATTTTATTTTTAAATAAATTGCAGTTGCTGGAACTGTTTTAGTATTTTTAAAATAACCAACCCTACATATACTACTGTCATAAAATATTTCTCCAAGTATTATATACATATATATATTTTTTTAATAATTAATTATTGTTATTGTCACGAGTTTTCTACTTAAATACTTCATTTAAGTATTTAACAGGAAACATTTAAGAACATTTAAATGTTTAATTGTTGATAAAGTTAGTTAATTATTACAAGGAATGATAATTATTGAAGAAATAATTAGCATACTTATTTCATCTGACATTAATATGATAAAAAGAAAATGTTAATTACAAAAATTATGTATTAAATATATTTTTCAGTATATATTGATTTTTTTTTATCGACATAAATAATAAGTATTGTGAAAATGACAAATAAAAACTAGTAGGAAAAATAATAATAATAATAATAAAAAGAAAATATTAAACGATATTTATTTTTAATTTATCGATGCATATTTTGATTTGATTAATAGTTATATTATTCCAAGCATGGCATGGACAATTTTCATTAAACGAAGCATTCAGGTTCCATTAAAAAGCGATAAATAGATGCGGAAGTATTTGATATTCTACAATAAATAACATTTTATTGTTAATTAATAAAGCTGTGAAAGTAGTTGGTAATCTAGGGAACCAGTTGTTATTTACATGATGATATTTTTATCGACAATTATCCAAATGAATATTTCATGGGTTTATTATTTTGCACAGTAGTGAAAGAATTTTCTCAGAGAGGCACAAAGAAGAGGGAGGGCAGAATTGAATGAAGAAATCTCTTCCTAAGGGTAATGTGAGTGGTTTGCCCTCGACAATGGTGGAGGTTAAGAGGCTTTTGCGAATCTCGTTATACTAGCGTTGAATATATACAAGTTACACGAATCCTGACGACTACACGATGACTGCCCACACTAATATATGTATTACACTTACACAAATATCATACATGCACATATACGTATACATAAAACTCCATCAGCGTGACAGCATTCAGTCTCGACAGATAATGATGACTCGCGCGTGAATAACAGCATGTTGGTCGGGTCATTAGCATTCATTTGGTATTACACATACGTTTGCTTATTTTAATTCAATCGTATTGTGTCACATACAATCTATACAATCTCATAGAATATAGTAGTGGGCTCTCATTTTAATGTTAACTTCCGTATAACTGTCAGATGAATTTCGCACACCCTTTGATGTGTTTAAGCTTTCCCGCGTGTGACAGGCTCCAACCAAAAAATTAATCCTACAGGTCAAGATGCTGACAGCCGTTGAGGAGAGTCATAGTCAAGCAATACAATATTACATTGAGATCTCTAAACGCTTGCCAATCATTTCCGGTTTAGGGATTATAAACGGGGCCGTGACAATTGCTCGACACCTTGGCGTTATTCCGACAGGGCGTGAAGCTGATGGTCGTCTATGATCTACATGTTTCCAACGGGCGAGGCACACTCTCTAAGCGGATTAAAGCCAATTCTACCACCATCACTATTCAAAACCCACACTTTTTCCTCTTTTTATAATACATATTCCATCAACGCTTCTCAAGTTTTCACGCTTTTTGACTTCTGACGCTTTGTATAATAATTTCAAAAAGCTTTTTTCCAATGTTATACTTACCCAAGCACGCGCCTCATATGCTAGCTAATCACTGCACATTAATTCCTTTAACCGTCGGTTCAAACACTCGAGCAAAATTGCCTCTATTCAGATAATCAAGTTTCAATGATAACGTAAAACAGCCTAGAGCATGTTATTAGATAAAACAAATGCGATTTTTCGTATCACCACTTCCACCTTTATTACTTGGTGCTGTTTTTATTTATTCTCGTTTCTACATAGATAGATGCTTATTAAGGCTTACAAATGATAATCACAGACAATTGTGTGACGCGTTTTTTTCTGATTGTTCGAATAATCATGGAATTAATTGCCCCAATAAACAAACAGAAAAAATATTATAAATGAGAAAGAATATGATATAATAATAGATTGTATTTTTCTTTCATTTCAGAAAACAGGATTTGGGTTAAGGCCATTAGGTACCATGTCATTATCTTCATCATCAAGAAAAAGAAACATCTTTCTGATACTTAAAAGCTAGTATAAGTCAAGAGATAGTCACTCAAAGGATTTCCGTGTCAGGTATATACATGAATGGAGTCAACCAACAAGGGTCTATATGATTAGTTAAAAAAAATCCAATACAAAAATAATGTTACTTTTAAGTCTGTTGGAATATTACAATTCTTAAATGTTTTAGGTATAGTTTGACTACCGACAGTGATGATGCTGATAATTATGAGAACTTACCATTAGAAGGCACAGAGGAAGGATCATGATGACTGGCATCACTGTCGTCATCTCTTTTCCTCTTGAGGCTGGGTGTACGGGACTGTCTGATGCTGAGGTCTCGTGGAGCTGAAGGAGGACTACCAGGTGGCTCTTGACTTGGTAATGAAGACGGGCTTGATGCGTCGGCCAAAATATCAGTGATCATAAACCTTGACCTATGTGGCATCGTTGTGGAAGCATCACCTGATCGTTCAAGATTGCTACTATGATTGCTGCTATTGTTGACGTTGTTATTTCGAGCATCAAGGCCATTCGAGAGCCTATCAAGACTCTCTAGCCCCCTATGAGTATGATCAAGACCAGCCATGCGACTTAGATTAAGCCCAGCACCACTTCCAGCTTGGACCGTGATGCCACTGAGTGCTGTTACGTGATGACTTTGATGATGAACTGTCATTGCGAGGATTGGTGACCCCGGAGGGCTTTTAGTTACTGATTCCTCTGCTGTCGCCACCACGTCTAGACTCTCGTGGAATCGAGATGATAAAATTTTGCCGACGGTGAAGAGTCACCTGCTGATACTTGGCAGTTAACATTCACCAGCCAGACGAATAATTGATTAGCTAATTGATATGGGAAATGTGATGGCAAACAAAGTGGAAGAAATGATGGTTAAGTACAGCAGAGGTGAAGGAATATTGAACAAAGTTGATATACTACTCAGACTGTACATATAAGTTTCGTTTGGCCGCGCAGCAATTAAGAGGCTGCGCTTGCTCGGTTCTTTGCTTAATTGCTAACTGCCCAGTTAACATAATTACCGTGCACAGAAGCACGCCCGTCAGCCATTTCCGCTTTTATTTTTCCTCTTTTAAACTCTTCCTCTGCTGTTGTTATAATTATTAGTGACAGTGATTTCAACTAAATGTTGCTATCTTTTCACTCATTTTTTCATCAGATACATGAAAAATATTTCCAATGTATCTCACAGCTAATGAATTAATTACTCAGCAAATTGATTATCAACGTATCCAAGAATGATAAAAAATGAATAAACAGAGTCACTCTCACCAGCACATACATAAATAGTTTTCAAACAACTAGCTCTCAAGTCATTAAAATCACTTAATGGCATCCACAGGCTAGTAATTAAACCAATTAATTAACTCAGTTAATCAACACAAATAGTCTCGAAATGTGAGTATAAATAGTTAAAAGATGTAATCATGTAATATACACTCGTGATCAAGGACTCGTATCGTTCAACATGTGAACGTATGGATTGAGCTGACTCGACTGAGCTAAAATGTTCAAGTCGAGGCCAACGAAGGCTCCTGGGGCGGCCATATCGTGGTGAAGGAACGCCCCAAGTCAACCCCACTATACTCAACTCTCTGCCAATGGATTCTAGAGATTGTAACGAGTCAGCCAATGGTGATGATGAAAACCTCAGCATTCCACCGTTCACGAGCTACGCCCAAGTAATTTGAAATGTGTTTCAGCAGTAATTCGATATAAAATTGTAGTTAATATCTTTCATTATGGTCGGTCGTGCCGAGGAGGATTACTGGCGGGGGGCCAAGCGGAAGAAAAAAGACCCTCGATGAAACGTGGGGCAGAAAGTGACAGAGTATAATAGGGATATAGAAGTATGAGAAGAAGGAAGCTGCGATTTGCACGTGAGACCAAGTGAGATCGAAGATGTGATGAAAAAAGAATATATACAGAATGGATCGAACCAACGCCAGGAAAACGATTGAGAGCAAGAGGAACAACTCTGTGTACTTATATTGGCAAAAGCCTTTTGAATTAGCAAATTTCTCTTATTGCCATTCACCCTCTTCACTTTTCCATCTGACATCAACCATTCGATTTGTAAAAGCTTTTGGAAATCATTTCAAACCTATTTATTGAATTACTTGTCCAATATTGTAATTAGTATTATTTTATGGGGTGGTATCTATAAAAAACAATTATGCTTATCTGATTGAATCTGGAAATTGTGGAATTAATATAAATTAGTCAGTCACATATATAAAGTTGGCTCTTTACCATCTGGACTTGCTTATGTCATTTAATTTGTGCTTACATACATTCAGGCGGAAATGACTTGCGCCCTCAGGCCACTTTTCTGTACTTTCCAAGCTTTTATACTTGACTATTGCGCTGTGAATATATTCTATACCAATCCTGTCAATCACGGTCACGACATGCCTATAAAAATGTTTACAATTGACACATGTTGACTTGACCCACCGGAATTCATTGTTATCAATAATACAGGGAATGATATAGAGCACTTTGTAGATTTTTATTATTTATTTATAACTGTTATTTTCATTCATTTATTATGCATTTTTAATTTTCAAAATTAGTATCTTTAATTGCTTTTTATGCCGTGAAAGGATTTCCTCCATTATTTATGTATAAATAATCAGAGCTGATAAAAAAAAACGGATTTAAATGTAATTTAATATCAACTGATGTCAATAAACTTTGACTTTAATTTTTTCCTCGAAGGTTGGTTTTTTATTCTTTCGAATTAATACATTTGATTTCAATGATTAGGTTGTTTTCTATAAATAAATACAGTTGTTTTAGAATAGAAAATGTTTCTTTTTTTTTCCTCCATAATAGATAAACTAAGCTTGTGTAAATATGATTAAGAAACTAATTTACTTTTTTCTAGATAATTTTATAAATTATGAATAAAAATAATTAATTAAAGAATGAAGTAGTAATTGATCAAGATGCAGGTGAGAATGAGAAAAAAGAAATATAATTTATTTCTGTTAAAACTATTTTTTAAAGCAGCAACTTTGTCGTTTTGTAAGATTTAAAATGGTTTAATTAACTTTTTTTTTTCTTTTTTCAGAAAAATGACATTGACATTAAAGAAAAAACATGCAGGCAAGTGTGCGCGACAAAATGCGTTGGTCAGAAGAGTGGAAAAAAAGTTAACGGAGCTCGTAACGTGGTCATCAAAGCGTAACATAGCGTCTTATGAAGAGACCAATGTATAAAAGTAAAGAAATAGTTGATGATAACACCTAAAAACACATCACCTTAAATAAATACATGAGATTATTTTTCCAGACAAACTCGTACATATCAAGTAGCATGAGTAAGGCAAAAAGTTAATAGCATTAAAAGCACTCTTAATTGTACTCCAATTAAATTTTATGAAGTTCATGGGAGCATATGGGTGTGTAATATTCCTACCAGAATCGGTGTATGTAAAGCAGGAAAAAAATATTATACATAATAGGTACACCTATTTAGTCCTATTAGGAAAATGGTTTATTTTAAAGGAAAAAAGCTTAAGTCCGTATAGGATATGAACGTGAATGGAATTAATGAGCGTTTAAAGCGTTTCTGAAAACTCTTATTACTGATAAGAATCCTGCCGGGAAGTAACACATATGTTCTTTGAATGAGTGAAAAATGTTTCTACATTAACATACGCACATTTTACATAAGTAATGCTAAACCAAGTGAATATCGGTAGCATATCCGGTCGAGCAAAACGAACTTCAGTTCTAAGGGAACTGATATGGCGTAGAAAATACTAGATGACAGGCATATAAGGTAGAAATCACCAAGTTTCGCACGAGCTCTATTTAAAAAGTTATGGGCAACTAATGAAATATTTATTTTACCACTGATAAAAAAAAACTTGTCTATAATATTCTTATATCAAGATGATAAATAAATTTTACTCTCATCTAGAGTTGAATGAATGATTGTTCATTAGAAACAACATAGCTCTAGTGTTTTATATTGTAATAAAACAATTATTTAAATGTTATCAAATGTGTTTGTAGATATCTGATAATTAATTTGTAATTAAATGATCAAATGGAATGTGTTATCATGTGCAATATGAGCTTGAAACTGCTAATAATTACTTTAAAAATAATAGAGTGTGATAAAAAAAAAAAATCAATGAAATATATTATCATCAATGCTATCACAATTTATTATCAGGATTGAAACTAAGTGTTCTCACCTGAACTATCCAATACCAATGAATAAAAAGTCACACAATAAATAAATACTCCAGCACGATAGCTAACATGTTCAACTGCTAAAATATTCTCTCACGAATGAAAATAATTTTTCCCTCATGAATGAACATCTAGAAGAATTGGGGAATAGCCGCATCAAAGATTACCAAGTGCATGAGCACACATAATAAGCTAAAATGTTGATGGAAAAGGACGATGGTGATCGCAGCAAGTTGTTTGTGATCGCACTTACATGCACGTTCTTATAGTCTACACGTATGACCCGTCTAGCGTATCCAATGCATATTCATATGGCCATACATTACTGTGGCATACAGCCAACCAACACGTCGATCTTAGATTAAGGTAAACGCCGGTTAAGTTAACGGCTAAACTTGCAAAGTCCCCTTTGAATTGGCAAAGTTGAAAATATGCGCGCGCATTTATGTCGTAAGTGTTGCTACCGTCACTGGTTGTTTTAAATGTCCCAAGAGAAGAGCACTGGCAAGAGACGTTCACTCGACGGATTATCAGCTCACAGCTCGGGTTACGTCTACGAGCCTCCATTACCGGCAATTTGCATTGATAGGAACAAGCAACCGGCTTAAAACCGATCTAAAAGCTACTTTACTAGCTAACTTCTCGGATTTCGTTTATCATGAGGCATTCAGGGTGATTAATTTCCCAAGAACATGGTGCTCTTGTTAATTTTATCAATTCTTAGATTAATTTTCATCACTATTTAGTCGATTTTCATTAATTTTTATTACTTGTTATTATTAGATTCAGTGTGGGATAATAAATTTATAAGGATACTTGTTTAAATATTAACAAAGGAATTATACTCCTAGCATGCGTGTAAATGAATAATCATCATCATTATTTCAATATTATTGTTATAAATATGAACCCTTGATGATGCATTAAAATAATTGGAAAATTGTTGAATGTATTTTTTCATTTATTTCATCAACTTTTTTATCTCGAATAATTGTACAATGTTGTTATGTAATTTATCATTGCATACTTTTAAGAAAAGAAATATAAAGTTTATAGTTTTTTTCCAGTTTCAAGTGAAAAATATATTAATTTTTTTATTTAATATATAAAATGAATAATTAGTTAAATATATTTAACTTTATTCTATTCAATTATATAAGAAACAATTTGTTTTGACAATTGAGGATAAATTTTTTTTGTTGAATAAAAGATAAAAATAAAGGTCATTTTATGTAATATAAAATTACAATTTATGAAAACTAACAGAATTGATAGATATTATCTCGTGATATTACAAATTATTTAAAGCCATTTATTCCAAGAAATATTATAAAAAAGTACTTCAATTTGTTATAGAATATTGCTGAGTAAAAAAAAGTATATAGTCTTTATTGAAGTTAATAAAATACAAATAAAATGAAAAGTATGTACTGGTAGATAATAACAATGTGTGATACGTATAATTAATTTAAGTGATAATATCTTCAAAAAAAATAAAACATCAAGAATGAGTATAAATATTATTTACTATTTAAAATAAATATAAAATATTTAAAAGTATAATTAACTATAGGATTTTTTAAACTACTAATATTTTACTATTATATCTTTTATTCACTTCTAACATTTCCATGAACTGTATAATACATTCTAGAATTAAATAATAAATGATCGAAAATAGGCATTAGACTTTAACTGTTATTTTTAATCGAATGACTTTATAATAACGAAGCAATAAACTGTTTCATGTCGAAAGAGACTTTGCGTGATACATACGAGAAAAAAGCTTATAAAACATGATACAATTTAATAAATCAATATTTTATAAATTCTTCTACAGAATAAAAAACAGTTGGAAATTTTTCAAAAATTTTATTAACAGGTTGAATGATAATAAAATAAAAAAGGTAAATGACAATTTTTTTTTTTTTTTTTTTAGAAATTAATAATAATAAAAAAAAAAAAAAATATTTGCACTTATTATTGTGATTTCCTGCAGGTGTTGGTCTACCTCTACAACCTGGATGGGGTGTATATTAAAAAAGGTAGAGCTATTATAATTTATACACGGTGGCTAATATAAAAGCACGAGTAGCGTGTATGACACATCAAGCACGAGAGGGTGTCACTTGCCCTGAGTACAGCAGAGCACACTTTCAACAGGGGCGAGAATTAGTCTGACGGGGTGGTATTCCCCCATTATTAGATCTTTCTCATGCTGATAAAACTGTATAATAGACTTAATCGCTTTACTCTCATTCCCCACCAAAATTTT